TGCCTTTCAAGTGAACCTGTAGCCAGGCTAGGGAAAGTCAAGTATTTACAAATTCCTAACAAGCAATAACAGAGCTTTAAAATTAGCCCTCTGTAGCTGCAGGCACTGTGGAGCAATAAATCACTAACCACGTGAGTCCCTAAGCCTTTTTCTCCCCACATCCCCTTGAGCCCCGCAGCATTTTTTTTTTCATTTTGATGACGTCTTGGTTTTAGTATTTGTAGTCTACTCTAATGTATTATAGATATTTTTTTTGTGTTACAGTTGGAGCTTCAATTTGGTAGCAGATTAGGATACATCCATTTTTAATTTTCTTGGTTTGTATTGGAAATAATTAGTAAAACATAAAAAAACATGTATTTTCACCACCCCCATATCTTTACTCCAAAATATAGGGGTCTATTCATTAAGCTGCCGTAGGCAGCCGAGTGAACGACCGACCTGAAGCGAAGTGAGCCGACCGCTGTTTGGCTATTCACTTCAGGCTGGTACGGCTGATTTCAGCCGTATATATCGGCTGAAATCAGCCGTACATCGGGTGGCTTCGCGTGGCTTCGGGTTGGGCGAACATGCTCGAAGCAGAAGGAGTTCGACTCAGCCGATCCAACATCTGGATCGGCTGAGCCGAACCTCCGGCAGGCTACTCGCTGCTAGGCTCGGCTATTCTGCTCCGTATCTCTGTGGCACCGAGCAGAATAGAAAAACAGTTAAAAAGTAGAAAAAACAAAAATAGAAAAGGATTGGGTGGAGCTAGCAGTGACAGCTAGCTCCACCCAACTGTTTTCTATTGGCCGGCGGTTCTGCTGCCCTTCAAAAAAAGAAAATTTTCGCCATAGGAATGCATTGCTAGATTCCTAGATTCCTATTGGCTATTTCAATTTGCAATAGCCAATAGCAAACTAGCTATTGCACCCACCCTCTGCTACTGTCAATCACTAGTGGGGACCTGATGGAGAACTGCAGGTCCCCTCTGCTGATTGACAGCAGCAGTGGGCGGGTGCAATAGCTAGTTTTATATTGGCTATTGCAAATTTAAATAGCCAATAGGAATCTAGCAATGCATTCCTATGGTGGATTTTTTTTATTATTCTGACAACAGCCTACGGCTCCATGTCAGAATAAAAAAAGAAAAAAAAGCAGTGTTTCTCTCCTGGGCAGCCGGGAGCGGGAGACTCCCGGAGCACCGGGAGTGTTGGGCTGTCTGGAGATCAGTGTCCCTGGTTAACTGGTAACCAGGGACGCTGATCTCTCTGCAAGTGGCCGGAGCCAGCCGTAGATCACGGCTGGCTCCGTCCAGCTGTCAGAAGCAGGCTGTCAGCCGGCCAATCGCCGGCCGCTCGGCTAGCTTTGGCTTTCACCTCGGCTCAGTCGAGCCAAAGCATATGCCTTCAATATCATAGAGGCCCCGCCGGGTTCTCAGTGTGCAATGACAGATGGTGTCCCTGGTTACCTGGTAACCAGGGACGCTGATCTCTCTGCGAGTGGCCGGAGCCAGCCGTGACATGACGGCTGGCTCCGCCCAGCTGTCAGAAGAAGGCTGTCAACTGGCCAGGGATGCTGATTTCTCTGCAAGTGGCCGGAGCCAGCCGTAAGATCACGGCTGGCTCCGCCCAGCTGTCAGAAGCAGGCTGTCAGCCATATGCCTTCGATATCATAGAGGCCCCGCCGGGTTCTCAGTGTGTAATGACAGATGGTGTCCCTGGTTACCTGGTAACCAGGGACGCTGATCTCTCTGCAAGTGGCCAGAGCCAGCCGTGAGATGACGGCTGGCTCCGCCCAGCTGTCAGAAGAAGGCTGTCAACCGGCCAATGGCCGGCCGTTCGGCCAGCTTCGGCTTTTAACTTGGCTCAGGCATATGCTTTCGGCTCGACTGAGCCGCTCGGCCAACTTTGGGAGCTGTACGGGCTATAGTGAATAGCCCGTACAGCAGCCCTTCGGTTCTGCTGAACCGAAGGGGTCCTGGGGCCGAAGCTAGCTGAAGGATCAGCCGAAGCTACGGCTAAATCCTTCGGCTGCTTCGTGAATAGACCCCATAATCAACAAAGTCTGCTTATTAAAATGATATTACATTATTGAGACCTTTATGTAACATAGCAGAATGGTAAAATTAATGTATGTGTTTTACTTCAGGAGAGCTTTATTCCCCTTTCAATGCTACATTGCATATCTCAGGTTGACGACAGCACAAATTAGCACAATGCTGACTTTTTCACATGTTTGCAGTCACTAAAAATGTGAATATCTTTTTCACATAAGTGAGAATTTGATGCTTGCTCAGTAAAAGTTAATGTCAACCACATCATCTGATATCATTATTGTGACCTGGAGATTATTCTGGGGACTGAATATTTTTAAGTATTTATTTAAATATTTTTTTTAGGATATAAATGGGGTTATTGAAGACCTGATCCAGACCCCTCATGCAGCTCTGTAGTGACAGATAAATTCTAGTAGTGATCTACTGTTGGCTGCAATCAGTCAGCGATAGATGACTATAGCAGCTCTGCTTAAGTTTCTGTGATGTCACTACATTCCCATAATAAAGTTCCTGGACTTAGTTCTGGGTCCTGACTGTCATTGACAGTTTCAGCACTTGTAACAGAAGGAATTTTAAAACTCCACTGCAACAAAATACTCACTGTTCCTGTGCCATTTTAAAATGGGACATGGGACTCAAGTGTGTATTGTTCACATGACAAGCAGTGAAGTTGCCCACGTTGCCCTCTGCTTTCATCCATTCAAAAAATGTCTTGTATGTTTAACAGAATGCAAGGCCTTCTGTGAATAGATAAGAGGTGACCAGGAGCTATGTATATGACTAGAGCCCTTTACTGTGGCAGCAACTACACTTCATCCCCATGCCGGAAGTACAGTGCTGTCTCTAGTAACCAGCTTTCTATCAAAGTATGATTTGTTCTATAACCAGCAACTATCTGATTATAATGCATTCATCATTAAAAAATAACCTATTAAACTTGAGCTGATAATAAAAAAAAGTTTTTTTACTGGAATTCAGATTTAAATCTTGGAAACTTACACCCTTGAAGTCTGGCCCAGGTCGTACTATTTTATTCTGCGGTGAGTTTTCGTCACAATCTTTGCAGGTGTCTTCTACTATCTAAAAACAAGTATAGGAAATGTGTAGGAAAACACCATTGTAAAAACAGTTTTTGATTTGTGTCAGAGTTTTCATATATTTAAGCTGTAACAGTAGCATGATGATTTGCAAATGTTTTATATTTTTCTCTTTGCCAACATGGCTAAATGAAAGATATTACTTAAAATAATAATTTAATAAAGGAGCCAGATTATTTGTCAGAAAAGCAAAAAACCCTATATGTATTTATTTCCCATATTTATGCAGCATTTTAATGAGTTTATACAATTATATTATAATATAAGTTCCTCTCCTTTAATGATAATACAGTTGAATGTCCCTACAATACATGTTAAGAAATATGAAATTTCATGAATTAATGTATCTATGTACATCTCCTCTATTGCAATCAGTCCTTCACCACAGTGAATACCAATGGGAGCTGGAAGTTAGATGGCTGATAACTAGAATCTCAAACTAAAGACATTACTTTGGCTGACCCGAAGTGCAGAAGGCTACTCGCTGCTGTTCGGTCTATTCTCATAGATGCCCAACAGCAGTGAGTGTGCTCGGCAGCATTCGGCTCGGCTATTTTGCTTGGTACCTCTATGGTACTGAGCAGAATACAAAAACAGTTAAAAAGTAGAAAAAATTAAATAGAAAACGATTAGGCGGAGCTAGCAGTGAAAGCTAGCCCCGCCCAACTGTTTTCTATTGGCAGGGCGATTTTTGCTGCCGTCAGAATAAAAAGAAACACCATAGGAATGCATAGCTAGATTCCTATTGGCTATTTCACTTTGCAATAGCCAATAGGAACGTAGCTATGCATTCCTATGGTGTTTTTTTTTTTTATCCTGACGGCAGCCAACGGCTCCGCTGTCAGATGAAAAAAAAAAAAAGACAACAGAGCAGGGAAAGGTTTACTCTGATCGAGCAGAGTAAAACTTTCCCGGAGAAAGTGTTTCTCTCCCGGGTGGCTGGGAGCCGCTATCTAATAGTGGGAGACTCCCGGAGCGTCCGGGAGAGTTAAGCTATCTGGAGACCAACGTCCCTGGTTACGTGGTAACCAGGGACTCTGATCTGTCTGTGTCAAGTGGCCAGTGCCAGCCGTGGGATGACGGCTTGCTCCTCCCAGCAGTCAGTAGCAGGCTGAAGCATATGCCTTCGGCTCGACTGAGCCACTCGGCCGACTTCATTATTTGAATGAATCAACAGTTATATATTATGCCGGTGGACTCTGCTGTTATAGGTAAAGGTGCCCATACACCTGCCGATTATCGTACGATAATCGCGGGTGATCATGCGATCGTGCGATGATCGGCAGTTGTATGGGCAGCGTGCAACTGCATCTACTGTACGGTCGCATGACTATCATACGATTGTCAGCGTGTTCGGAAGACAAATGCCACACGGGCCGGTGTGCGCAAGCGCACACTGGCCGCTCAGCATTGCAATCATTGGCAATTATACAGAAATTATTATAATGGAGTGTGAAACTATTACCCAGCCAGTAGCTTCAAACATCTTGATATCCAATGGATCGCCTTGTAGTTTTCCATCCACTATGATTAGAGAATGACAACTTGTCATTGCAGCAAATAGTGGTCCCCCACAGAGATCATTAATCTGTTCATGGGTTACCATTTCCTGAAAGCTTAACATGAAAAGTGCATTAGAAGAGAAAAGAAGATGTAAGAGAGAAAATAATATCTTCTAAATGGAAAGCTTGTGAGTAGACAGACATACCATGCATTTTTAGATGGTATCACACTCATTAAATCAAGGCCATCTTCTGTTAAAGTTCCAGTCTACAATTCAAATGAATGAAATATAATAATTTACATTTAGATAGTAAAACATTGTGCATGTATACCCCAAGAAATGAAACATGCAAAAATGATGATGAACATTATCATGGAAAAATATTGCAATTCCTGTTCAGAATGCAGGCCGGCACATCCAGGCATGCCGTCTTTAATGATAACAATAACACCACCTAGGCAGGACTCTGAAATTACAGTGCTTTACTTAATTCTAATAGGAGAAAAGCATTGTCATTACAGGAAAGGACAAAAGCCTGAAAATAGAAAACCAATGCAGTCACTAGATCTATGGATTCATAGGTTGCAATTTATTACATGTTATATTTGAGTTTAGCTACACTTTAATAAAATTATTGCAAAAGTGAAGAGGTGGCACATTATTTAGGCTTGAGAAAGGTTCAATTGTCCTTGAAATGTGTCCTATATTAACCTGAACTTGAAATTAGATGCTGGAGAGTCCACAGCCACGAGGAAGCTGCTCCACTAACTCTACACCAATGCTGCTGGCTCTGCTTCATTGACTCTCTCAACTGAGGAGGACTGCCCGGTGGTCATGACACACTCAGGGATCACCAGCGCACTTTCCGCAGTTCAGAGCTATCCACAGTCACAACTGGAGTGCATTTTATCTATTTTTTGCTAAATAAATTCTAGTCTTTTATCACACTACCAGATGCTCCTGTTTTTTTTTCCCTCTTGTTCTCAGAGTGTGGTTTAACATACCACTGTACTGACGACCACCTAACCCAAATATGAGGCTCCACTTTTGTGGACCATGGTTTGATTCCTAGTTGATGTACAGCAGGGGCTGACTGGCAACTTTTAGCCCAGGGGGCAAGTACAACCCAGAGGCCCATGGTGCAGCGACTTGGCCCCCCTCACGCTCTGCCTCTTCCCCGGCTTCTCCCCGGCCCCGTCTGCCACTTTTGCCGTCTATGTAACAGTAGTTTGAATGTATTTATCGGTTTAGGAAATGTAAAGCACACTGGTAGTGGAGGGATGCCTTGTCAGGGCTGTGCGCGTGCATGACTGCTGCGCCACTGGTAGTTCTGCCACTAACTCAGAAATACATTGTACAGCATTGCAGAATGGCATTGGCTATAGAGAACTACAAATCCCAGCGATAGTACATTATACAGCGCAATGCAGAATATCACCAGCTATAGAGGACTACAAATCCCAGCAATAATGACTACCAACAGATAGAGAACTACAATTCCCAGCAATACCATTATACAGCAATGCAGAACAGCATCAGCTATAGAGAACTACAAATCCCAGCAATAAATATTACAGCAATGCAGAATAATATGAAGCTACAAACTCTGTTGCTCTGGGTTCTCCGCCTGAGGTCTAAAGGGTCTCAGGTGGG